TTAACTTTATTTTATCGTAACTTAATGAGCTCCTCGTATAAAGAAGACGAATATATAATTAGAAAAATCATTTAAAAAGGAGTCCATCCAGTTGATTCTAATGAAAAAATAAACCTTCTTATTTATTATAAAAATTTTAAGTCGCAACAACTATTAATAAAAAATAGTCCCAACGTTAAACTAGCAACAACACAGCACTCCCACGTCATCTACCAATTTCTATGTCCTCACGAAGACTGTAGGCTTCGTCCATCTTCTTATATTGGAATGTCTACCACAAAACTGACACGCCGTTTAACCTGCCATTTGAACATCGGAGCTCCAAATCAACACTACCATGACTGCCACAACCAGCAATTATCCCGCAAAATATTAGAAGATAATACTAAAATATTAATGAAAGACACTAATTTTAACAGACTACAAATTTTAGAATCCCTATTTATTAATATTTATAAACCTAATTTGAACAAACAAATTTATTCCAATTTTATTTTACCTTCATCACGAAATGTTTAATTTATTATTATTATTATTAACATAATATTGCACATATAATATATTTTATTATGTTATATTACAAAATAATTGTTTATTATACTTAATTTAACTACTTACGTTATTTAACTTTAATCGTTACGTTACTTTCGCGCTCAACTCTTATTACGTCATCTGACAGTTTATTGTTATGTTTATTTGAATTAATATTAAATTGCCTGAAGATGAATTATAAAATTCGAAACGTCGCTTAATAAATAATTATATAATGAATATTGGTGTTCTAATTTTTAATTTAAATTATAATTATAAAAAACTAATAAGAAAAATAGAAAATCTTAATAAAAAATTAAATAACAATAATATAAGCATCGCGTTTAATGAAATATGCTTAAATGAAAATTTGTTACCGAAATTTACTGATATATATATATATATATATATATATATATATATTTATTTATTTATTTATTTATTTATTTATTTATATAATGAAAATCACAGCATGTTCGCATGTTCAGGGTTAGATAATTTCAATTTTAACTTTTAGGTATTTCTAACGGTTGATCGTAAATCTTTTCATGTTTCTTTAGTTCAAAACCAAAATTTTTGTTTATTTTATGCTTGATAGAACGGAAAAGCTTTTTTTGATATTCCTATACCATCTCCGGTGTTCAAATTGATATGTTGTGTATTTGCTCAGACGCTCAAATATTTATATAATGTGCCTCTACTCTACTTTGTTGATTCCTTGTTTTTTTAAGTGAATACCTAGTTTTACAATCTTCAACATCATAAAATATAATACTTACGCGTTTTCATTATCGATGATTCCTCTGTTTCTAAATTTTTTGGTTGGAAAAATTCCAATTGCCCGTTGTTGAATATTTATTACCGGATTTTTTGTTCTATGAGTATTGATTCGGCTAGTCGTAAATTATAATTTTCACTGGAATAAACGAACTCGTCGTCGACCGGCCAGTTATAGTAATTAATTGACAACCAAAGATCTGCGATCAATTATCCTATTGCAAAAATTCTCAACAAAATATAATACCTTACACCCCTAACAGCTATAACTTAAAATTAAGTTGAGAATTCATAGATTCATTGTCTACAATAAAACCATCCATTAACTGTATTTACGACAGTCTGAACCCATATATATATATTTATATATTTATTTATTAAGAAATATCATCGCATTTTTCGCATTGTTGAGTTTGTAACTAAGTTTTTCGAACAAGTATTATATAGATATTATTCAATTTATTCAAATTAATAATAAAACTTTTAATTATTTTATACTGCATTTTTCATATATAAATACCTTTACATTACTCTAAGTTCCATTGTTTCTTTGTGCGAGTAATTTTTTTTGGTAGGATCCTTCGTTAAAAATACTATAAATACCTGATGAACTACATATAACAATAACCTAAACTCTATTACACTATTATTACTTTTATGTAATTGTATTTATGAAAAATAGCAGTCTAAAATATTTAGAAAGTTTATTGTTAATTTGAATAAATTGAATAATATTAATAAAATAATTGTTCGAAAAATTGAAAAAATTAGTTACAAATTCAACAATGCGGAAATAGGAAATATATATATATTTATTTATTTTAAAACTTCTTGTTTTTTTCGTAAATAAATAAATATATATATATATATATATATATATATTTTTACAATATTCTATAAATTCTATCAAACATATTAACGCTAAACGTTCGGTAGAATTTATAGAATATTTATAGAATATTAGAATATTGTAAAAATTATGTTCTATTACCAACACACACACACACACACACACACACACACACACACACACACACACACACACACACACACACACACACACACACACACATATATATATATATATATATATATATAACGTAAAAATCCGATTTTCCACTCCTTTACTAAGGCCAACTTTAATTTTAAATGTACTTTAAATAAAATCAAATATTTTTTTAGACATTGAAATGAAAGTTAGCAATACTGTTGTATGGAAAGACATTGGCTAATGTAACAGTCAAAATAATAATCCGACAATAATTCATCCTTTTTTAAATTTAAATGAGTATGATGAAATAGTAAAAGTTCAAAAATTATAATTAGTATAACTTATAATAGTTGCTTTGAAATTTAGCGTCTGAATAATTTGATAGAAAAATAAACAATAACAATATTATTAAAACTTCTTGTTTTTTTCGTAAACAATTTATTTCCAAAGAATTAAAATTTTAAATTTTTTCAACTATGCATGATTTTTCAATTCATTCCAATTTCATTTATCTAAAAATGAATGTTGAAAGTTTGAAAAGAGGTTTTAAGTTATTTTTAAATAATGTATGATTTGGCTATTATTAGTTAAAAAAATTTTTTATTACGTTTAAAAAAAAACTCAGTAATATCTCAAATATTTTTATTTAACATCATATTATAATTTTAAATTAAGTTTTTTTATAGCATTGTTAATCTGCGTCCACACTCACCAATTCTACATTTAAATGCATATATCAGATGACTACAACTCATATGTGACTCAGTTTTAACGCTGCAATTATTTAAAAAAATTAAATTGGAAATTATATTTTTCCCATGATATATTTTTAATTTGTTTGTTGTTTGTTTGTTCAGATTGAAATTAATGTTACCATGTACTACTTTTACATTGTTTTTAATTATTTTTCTTATAATTTTTTTATCATTTTTACATGAAATACTCATTATATTTCTATAATAAACAATAATAATAACTATTATTATTATGTTATTCACTCTATTGATGTTTTTCAGAGGATAGTACTGTGATAAAATGCTTTGTTGAACAATAACTCTCTTCTTGTTAGAAGATCATTCCATACCTTGGACAGAGCAACCTGAACACATCTGTCACCCAGTTTTGTCCTGGTTCTAGGAACTACCATCATTTTTGACAAAACCGAACACAATGCATGTCCCACATCAACTTCAGTTCTTTTGCAAAAAACCTCCTTCAGATATTCAGGGCCACCACCGTGTACACAACCATGAGCCACCACGGCCATCATTAAATCTTGTCCTTTCCCTGATCAGCAGCCAGCGGAGACTTTCTAACCACTTTGTAATGTGATCGCGTCTATTTATATCAATGACCAATTTGGCGGCAGCATTCTAGATTCGTTAAACTTTATTTACTACCCCTACACCGGAACTATACAACAACGAATTGCAATAATCTAATCTAGACAGTACAAAAGTCACCACCAGGCTAGTAAAAATATCAACTGGAAAACATTTCTTGACCAGATACAATCTTCGTAGCTGAAGAAAGCAGATAACATTGAGTTTCTCGACCTGAGGCAACATCGTCATAGTACTGTCAAACATCACCCCTAAATTTTCACCTTGTCAGCCGAGATCAACCTATTACTCGATATATCAAAAGTCATACCTTCTAGTGCAGCTACATCAACAATAAACCTAATTAATCTGCAAGAGATAACTTGAGCATCTTTTATTGGGCCTGCAGAATAGATTTAAAGGTCACCCGTACACATATGAACCCTCAGACCATGATCATAAATCAAAGCCGGTAAAACAGACACATACATGAGAAATAATATTGGACCCAGCACCGATCCCTGTAGTACACCCATTTGCATTTCCATCGCATCAGACACCAATTCACTGAAACATACTTTTTGTGCACGACCCATCAAATATGAAACAAACCAATCAAGCACCACACCACCAATACCAAACGAGACCAAAAATCTTCTTAAAAGTCCCGCATGATCAACCGTGTCAAATGCAGAACTATATCCAAAAGCGCCAACAATACCACATTACCGTTATCAACTTGCTTTACTATATCACCAAATACTTCTAGGAGAGCAGTAGACGAACCAGGTCTGTAAGCCGACTGAACCGACGGTAAGAGTCTATGGGTGGATAAATCACCCAGCAGACGAGTCAGCACTAGACGTTCAAAGGCCTTTGAAACAAAATGTAGAGACAGGTCTATAATTATTGCTTTCGTTTTTATCCAGATCATTTTTCTTCAGCAGCGGGGTGATAATGGTTGACTTCATTCGTCGTGAAAATGCCACAGTTTTGAATGATGAATTTATCCAAAAACAAAAAAATGGCACCAAACTATCCATGAATTTTATCAAAATTTTAGTAAGGATCAGATCCAAGGCACACACTGTTGTTTTAGATCTCACAAATGCTGATTAAACCACATTTTCCGTACACATATCAAAATCCAGGAACATATCACACTGACTGATTGCGGGCTCTGGGTCGTCTTGTAACGTTTCTTATCTGATAGTTTTTATTTTATTCAGCCGTCAACAATGAACACTCGGTTGATTGCTTCTCATCGCCCAGCAGACGATTAAACGAATTCCATAAATTTTTTTGGTTAAGTCTACTATTGGCAACCTTACTCATCCAGAATGATCGCATTTTCATATCATAACGATCATGGAGTTTGGTTAATTGTTTTCTACAAGACTCCATGTCAGAAACAGTCCGAGTTCGTTTGAAAATTCTTTCACATTGCCTTGCTCAACGTTTTTTATAGAAACAACTGTCATCAAACCAAGGAGCAGATTTTTTTTACCACCAGCGACTTTTTTTAAAAGAGCCAAATGCTCTGAAATGTCGGAAAATGTCAATGTATATATTTCACAGAAATCTTCTTGGGATGCTGAGACCAAGTTTTCTAGATTGGAGCATAGTGGAGACAACTTCAACATTGACATCACATCTGAGTCTTTGACTCTTTTCCAATTACGGTAATATCTGACCTCATCATCATCTTTAATACGCCCCTGCACCATCATAAACTCTGAAACTACCAAAAGAGGAAACTAGCTCCATAAAATTGGATGCTAATTGATTATCGTTTGTGTGGATGTTGAAATCTTCTAAAATCAGTATACTCTGTCCCCGTAGGCACACCATGGACAACAAAAGGGAAAATTCATCTATAAATCGTTTTTCCGGAGCAACTGATCCTGGTCCGTAAATTGCTTCACACAGCATTTGAGTTGATCTTATTTTAATTAAACAGGCTAGTGTTTCAAATATTTCGAACCGACAACCGAGTTCATAATGTTTCAACTTGAACTTTAATTCATTATAAATTATAGCCAAACCACCACCTCTTTTCAACTGACCATCTAAATCTGTGCGTGGTACATCCAACTTTGAAACCGAGCAGGGAATGCACATCTGCAGTGCATAGTCATCATGAGATTTATGCCAGGTTTCAGTAAATATCAACATATCTAGTTTATCATCGTCAATAGTTGATGAAATCTTCGTGGCCTTTCCACATACGGACCTGGAATTTAGAAGCCCAACCTTTAAACGGCGATAGTAATTGTTGAAATTTTTCTCATCAATTAAGCGATTCAGTTTGGGTCTCCAAATGCCGTTCCTGAATAATCTACCCATCACCATACGTTCAACTTTACCACCAGTGTTACAGAATACCTAAAATTCCCTTGAATACGAGACTAAAACCATTTTACCTTATCAAACCAACAACTAGAAAACCATTTTGAAACAACCAACTAATTACAATTATAATTATTAAAAATTACAGGGTGAAATTAGGATATACACCATTTACTTTATAAAAAACCTAATTTAATTACAATATTGTCGCATAATTATAAATAAGTTCCCAAATACCCAAACCAATACCAAAAAATAGAAAAATGCGGAAATAATACCCAAAGTTAGACAAATTTAAGCAAACTATAAAAAATACACAAAAACTACAACTAATATTCAGCAAACTGAGAGTTATTAAACAATTTCCATAAAAATTTTACTAAAACAATTAAAAAGAGATTTCGATAAATACATATCATGATTATTATCATAAAAAATTGAAAAACACGTGAAAGAATCAAGTTTGTTTTACAATTAATGATCGTTCCGTTATTTTTTGAAATAACACCGATTGGTTCCTTGCTTTTATAAATTTATTAAATAATTCGTTAGACTCTAATGTTTTTTTAAAAAACCAAACATCCTCACACATGTACTCCAGACATATTTAGTTGGAATGACTTGTTCATGATATTTTGGTGAAAAAACTGGTTTGTCATTTGTTTGGTCGTCTTTTTTTATGTTTGCCATTGATACAGCCAATTTGCAAATGCTTTCAATTCATTCAGTTTCCAACCAGATGATGAAGTAATTTTATCCATTTTGCAGTTTATCTATGGTATTCTTTAGGAGCACTTTTCACATTCAAAATACTCCAAAATTTTATGATAACAGACAAAAATTTGTTGCATTGAAGAATTGATTTTATCTTCACATTTGTGTAATTCGATTGTCTTTAGAGATGTTACGTTGCACATGTGGTTGATCGTTTTGAAAATGATAGAATTAATATTTTGGTGCATTTGGAAATATTGAAGGCACCATTCCTGGCTTCACACATTTAACTTTCATTTCAACCCCTTAACTTAGTTTTCTTCTTTTACGACGAATATTTGAATCTGTTGATTCATATATGAATGAATAGTGGAAATGGAATGAGCAAATTCTTGAATTTTGTATTGTAGCAAAATCTTGCCAAGGGTTGGCTTTCACCGATTTGTTGCATAAATCCACATCATTTAATGCAGTGCTTTTCAAAGTGGTGGTCCGCGTAACCGGTGCCGGTCCGCGGCGAGCTCCCAAAATTTTTTATAATATTCAAAATAAAAATAAGACTTGACCAACAACACAAAGAAAATTTCATTAATAAGTGCTGGTGAGATAATAATAAGTGACAGCGTGAGAGCAATGAATGATCTCTGCAACTAATGAGATTCATTGTTCTAAATTGGCGAGATAAGTATATATGTGAGGGTGGTCATTTTTATTTCATTTAATTTACATTTTGTTTCAAAATATCGAAGTAATTTTAATTATTATTTATTTTTAATATAATTTGTAGTCAAAAGATTCCATTCTTCTAAAATTAACAAAATCTATAAATCTGCCAACATTCACGGTATGTTTATTGTATTTGTGTATATATATATACTATACATATATATATATATATATATATATATATATATATATATTGTTTTTGAAAAAAAAAATTTTTATTAAATAAATTTGCAAATAGCTATTTCGAGTTATAAATAACTCATCTTCGGTGCATTATATATAAGGTATGTAAGATATTTGATATAAAGGAACAAGTAATTATTAATTTATATAAATTATTTAATTAAAACAGAAAACCAATAAAATAAATTTAATAACTATAAACAATATAAAACGCGATTTTTAAAAATTTTAACGGCAAGATTGTTTATATTATGGTTGTTAAGGTAAATATCAACGCTCAGCCGAGAAGCGCGAATTAATTTATTTAAATATTACCTATTATTACCTATTATTAATATTATTTTGACAATATTTAAAAACGTTATTATTATTATTATTGTTAACGTTATTATTATTATCATCGCTGTGATTCTTCTTGCTTCTTGTGAAGATGTTCCATTTGCAAGTGATATTTGCGCTGTGGGTTATGGCGTTGGTATCTACGGTGTTGGCACTGTTGTTGTTGTTGTTATTGTTGATGCTGTTGTTGTTGTTGTTGGTGTTGTTGATGTTGTTGTTAGGGTTGTCACTATTGATGACGTTCCAATTGCAATTGATATTTGCGCTGTGAGTTATAGCATTGGTATCTACAGTGTTGGCACTGTTGTTGTTATTGTTAATGTTGTTGTTGATGTTGTTGTTGGTGTTGTTGATGTTGTTGTTGGTGTTGTTGATGTTGTTGTTTAAGTTGTCACTATTGGTATGATTGTTGTTTACATCATCAATATTGTTGGTGATAACATTGTTATAATTATTGCTGCTGTCGTAATTGTTGTTGTTATAATTATAATGATTGTTGTTTTTATT